AACTAGAATACCAAATCTATTACAATATAATTCTTACAATATAACCGATAACACGATCGAATAAAGATAAAATATCTTGTTGAATGTAATTTTTACAATATAATCCTTCATTTCTTGAAGTTTCGGATGGATTTTAATAGTACGAACGTAAGATACATTAGCCCCCACCTATTCTCTTCTCCAATTCAAAGCAAATTCATTTTCAAAAAAATTATCCCTATATATTATCTTCTTTTTTGCCCTTATAATTTAACATAATCATAAAATTATTACGATATAACCAGTTTCTCTTTAAAGTCTCCAAGAAAATTCAGTGATGTAACACTATAATATATCAAACCTTCCACAAAAATCGCCGATTCAGAGAAGTCTACCCAAATTCTCCTTTAAAAATTCCATCTCTGTGCCTCATTTTTCTCGTGAATCTCATCAAATAATCTCCCTGCCCATCCTAACGAATCGGTGATTGCGGTCCAAAGAGGGTGCCCCACCGAAGACCAGCAATTTGTATCAGTCGCGAACCGTCTTTAAAATGGCCGCGCCCAAGTTCTTCTTCCCCCTTCCGTCGCAGTACCAAAATCTGGGACGTCGATGGAAACGGTGGCGACCGGACAAGGTTTCCGCTCGTTTCGCGCTAATGAAAGACGTCTATGTAGGCTGCTTCCGCCGCGTTTTACCACGGCAGGAAGCGAATCGCATAATGCACACCCCGTGTAGAAACGGGTTGCACACACAGAGGGTTTGCCCCGTTGCCAAATACGTCTGCCGTAGCGAGAGAAGGGGTCCACTTTCGTTTCGTCGGGCAAAATCAATGGCTCTCCATCCCCCCGAATTCGTGGGCCACCTGCCAAAATACTTTCCGACCCAGAAGACACCTTGGTAACGGTGGCCAGTCGCGGGATCGCGAGCGGAGGAAAATGTTTCACGACGGGTCCTCTCTTTTGTTCTCGATCCAACCTCCGAAACGTAGCGACGAAACAGTGTGTGTAACACGGAATCTGTTATGTAAGGAACCGCACCTGGAGGGGTTGGTCACGGGTGTCGAAATTTTACGGTGGCTGGTAGTCGATAGTCTTGTTCAGTTCGTCGCAGGACCCGGCGGAGAAACGATAGTCAATGGTGGGATGTCGATTGCGGACCGAAGCCAATCTATACTTTGAACGCTTCAGTGAATATTCCGTTCTTTTTTTTTTTCAATATTCTGATAATCATTTCTTTTCAAGTGGAACTGTGCTCTTTACTTCTTTTTATTTTGCCGGTAGAGTCAACCGTTTCTTCACGATTACGGAGTAACGGTTGGCGTACATTTTCGAAAATTCGATCACGCGTAAGGGAATCATTCGAGCAAAATATCGTCTATAGTTTTCCTCGATATACTTATTCTGTGTAGTTTCCGTTTGACACCTTCTACCGTGCAATCGTGATCGTGTAGATTGGAATTGACCCTTTTTCGGATTATGGGGACCTCAGCGACCGTCCTTAAATCTTTAAGGTAAAACACGCTTCATGCGTGTTAATATAATTATTTGAAAATTTATTTAATCCTCTATTATGTCATCAAATTTTCAATGTTGCAAACCAAATTCGTTTGCACTTACCAATTTCAGTAATAATGGTTCTAGAGAACCATCGACATTTGAAAATTCGAATAAGGGTTAAACAAATTTAGTGTACCAGATGCTCGGAACTAGATTATCAGGTATAGATACTTGATTTATTTTCCATTGGCAGTTCTTCTATGCCAGTTCCACGATAAAAACTTCTCGCCTAATTTATGATCCACTCCTCATTTTTAATCGTAGACCGGTCTATTAAAAGCAAGTTAACCATTGTGTTCACACAACAACGATATTCCATTGTTTCACTTTGAAATAATCAGGCGTAAATACCGACGGCATTTATCACTCCCAACGAGACAAGAGCACATTATTACCAAGTAAATCAATCACTCTGTAATCAATATGCACAAGCAGTCAAAACACTGTAAGTCACTGCTTCCCGCGATCGATAAATCTTGCCCTGTTGCCTTCTATCTAATCACGTCTCTGATATTGAAACGGTTTACATACATGTACCAATGGTGGCCAAGTCTTATCAGGATATTATTTTCAAATCTGATCATCATGAATGTTTATAATATGGGTTTCTACCTTAATAAAAATGATATTTCTCTAAAATATCACGTGTTTCCTTTGAGTCGTAATGTGTACGAATGATTAGCCACAACGTAAATCACAGGACAATTCAGTGATCTAGGTATAAAGAGCACGTTTTCCAGTCCATCCCAATATCACACATTGTGTGCCGAAGCAGTCAGAACAAGTAGACTGATCAATACTCGAAAGTAGACCAACCCCCTTCCCCACGCACGAGTCAATTAAACATCGTTCAATCTACCGATGCAATGAACCTTCTAATCATAGTACAATTCACATAGACCAACCGATCTACTATCCGAATATACGAACTCTTTACTCCCCGTTCTCGAAGTAAAAATGTTCCAAGAGCTTACTCGTGGATTCTCCCATATACGTGTACGGTCTTCTTCGCCACCCCCAGTAGTCGATACCCTCGTAAGTAATTCATATATGCTCCCGTTATCCGTGGCGGGTACGCTGGAAATTATTTCTCGGTTTTCCACGAGGCACAACCGTCGTTTGAAGGTCATAGCCCACGGGGGGCTTGTGATCAATGACTAGCGTCCTTGCCGTCGCGGCCCCTAAGCGCCCTGGTGTTATACCCCCCGGCTTCTATCGGCGGTTCGCAGGTGGTCACACACACGTAAGCCTCCTCCGCGTCGTTGGTCTACATTATTTCGCGGCTTAGTGCGTAGTCTTGTTCCCGAGCGAGGACAGCTCGCGCAGAATCGAGTGTATTCGCGACGGTCGCACGCGTGACAGTGTGGAGCGCATAATCTTCTAGTTGCCTGAACGGCCGATGTTACGTTTTCGTAGACGCGGGAGATTCGATAGCATTCCCCATAGACACGAATGAGAATGCTGACCGCGTGAAAACAGACGAAGGGGGTGCACAACACGACTCCTTTGATTCTCTCGACGAATAATCGTTCGGTGCTCAGAATGTGTTTCTCGGGGGGATTTCAGTGTAACCATGCCAGTAGGAACCGTTCAGTGACACTTGGAAGGGAACGAGTACTTGCAAGACCAAGTGGGGAGTCACCGTTAACGAGGCTCTCCGACAGTCCTACCACACATTGGGGATAAAACGTGTGCCACAAGCCGTCAGGGATACTTTGAAGCAACCCTATGCGAAGTATCCTTCACGATCATTGCTCAACTTGACAATAATCGCAACCCTAGATACCTCGCATGATTTCTAGGTGGGCTTCGCTTCGGAGTCCTTGAATTATTCGTCCGTCTTTGGATCCATATCGGAAATTCGTTCACGCTGAAAACTAATACACAAAGTTCGAATTAACAGCTTCTGTGAACACGACAAAGTCAATTAGGATGTCGATTAGATTTTTTCTATCGCTCTAAGGAAATACAATTGATTCGTTTCTTCTCGAGGAAGCCAAGAAGGCTGAAGTCTTGAATTTCCAGCAGAGATGTTCGAACGTTTTCCTGAAGAGCCAAAGGAAACATTGGCTGTACACTGAAAGTAACCGTTAACGTGCCCTGAAATCATTTTTTTACTTTCGTCGCGTGGAAGAGGAGGAGGAGACTGGAGCTGTAGAATCTGATTTACATGAAAACCGCCTGAATGCCCTAAATGAGCGATGACGACGAAAGGGTGACCGACAGTGACCAGGAGTGGTCCAATAAAGATCTGTGGGGCGAGGAGAGCGAGAGGGATTCCGAGGGCGAGGCTGCTGACTCGTGTGAACTGGCGCCCCATAGTGCGATGAGCGTGGGGGCTGGCAGGGTTGACTCCCCCAGCCCCCAGGACATCAGGCTCCTACACGATCTCGTCGAGGACCTCGCCAAGGAGCAGGACGAGAAGACCAAGCCGCGTGCCGAACAGGTGAGCGATTCCGTTGAAATTACGGTTGAACGATAAAACTGACATTCTTCGTTAAATAATACTGATAATTCTGAGAGGGGTGATTCCCAACAAGGATCATGAATTTTCGATAATGTTATTATTATCATGTTATATGTATAGTGGAAAATGTTATTCTGTAGGTAATGGAGAGAAGACACTTGTTAAGTATGATCTCGTATTACCTGACCGACACGTGTGTTACATTGATTTAGCGATCTATGAAGTTTTCGAAGCCGCGGGCTGAATGTATTTCCTTCTTAAATATCATTAAAAATTCTCGGGTAACCAGGAGTAGACCTCGTTAATTCCGCCGCCAGATTTGTCACTTAATATTCACCGCGAGAGGACTCCGCGAGGGTTTCTTCGTCTCGCACTGGCGAAGTGGATTCGCGTTTCACGTTACGTGTCGCCTCCGTGAACCACGAGGTCTTTCGTGGACGCATCGAGCCGTGCGACCACTTCGCCGTGTGTCATGCATTAACGGGGAGAAATTTATGGCGCGTGTAGAGGAGGTTCTTGGACCACTTTGACTTGTATCGCGAAATCTCCGAAGTACATATTACATCTTCGAATATAACGAAACTTGTTAATTGCACGAAGCTTGAAACCTTTGAAAGTTCTTCAGATCATGCAAATATTCTGATGGTCGAAATAATATTAAATCTTCTTGGCTCTCCTTGAATAATGTTAGCTGAAATAATTTGAGAATAACACCGTCTTGGTTCTTGCGATGCAAAATTGGGTCACCGATGTCTCTGAACTCCCTTACACCCTAGCAAGGTTAGGCATGGTTGACCCAGATCGCGATTTATGCGTTTCAATGGCGCGTCGACGCGAGCCATTGATAAGGCCTGCCTGCGACTTGATTTAATTGGCGTGGAATAATTTGCAATTAAAATCTTTGGAAGGATTGCATTTAACCAACGATGCTCTTCACCGCAGGGTGGAGATAACAGAAATTCGAATATTCTTGTGAATGATGGAATCTGCTGAAGAGTACAGTAACTCACGTATTTGTTCATATACTTTCCCAATTACAATCAAGTGTACTAATTTTCATGCAATTACTATTCAAAGAACCTCATGATTTTTATTTTTATCATGCTTTCGAGATAAATTTTTCTTAATTTTAAAGTTAGATTCGCAGTTTGGTGTGTAACCTGCTGAAATAAATGTGACAGCACGCTGTGAATAAATTTGCGAGTCACTGTACATTCATCGTATAAACTTCAGCACTGGTACATTTTCGTAATTAAACATCACTCGGTTGGTCGTCTCTTGGTGGACGAGTCGGTCGCCTAGAGAAAGAGAGAGAGAGAGAGGGAGAGAGAGATAGAGAGAGAGGGGGGGGATAGCCTTTTCATCTTGACGAGTCCAGAAATCCAATAAGCACCGAAGTGTCCAGTAAATATAATAATACCGTCCCGCTAACCAAGACCGCGAGCTCTCGTCGGCCAAATGTGTTTAAAGACAAATTACATCCCAGAAACGATACGAGCCAGAGTTCACGCACGATTTCCATCGAAACGAGCCCCGAGATTTATTACGACGCTTCCATTTTCCATCTCGTGTGCACGGTATTTCCCTCTCGTGCACGATTACCCACCGTGCTCTGGAGAGCAACGGATGAGAAATCAAATTGAATCCGGTCAGTTGAATTCCCCCAACCCCCTCGCGGATGATGATTGGGTTACCTCGTGGGTCTTTTACCGGGTTAACAAACGGAAGATCGAGGCAATTGGGTTGCCGTTCGCGATTACGTTATTGGGCAAGAAATGAAAACGCGATCGCGCCAGGGGAACCTTGAGGATGGAGGCTCTTCCGACACCGTTTTAATTGATTCATAAATACGCTTTTCTCGCGGTACGAAGATAAAGAGTGGAAAAAAACGAAGACAAGGGATTGTATTGGGTTTTAAAGGCTATTAGGTGATCCAAATAATCTTGGAGCAATTTTCTCGCACGTTGGAGGGACACAGGGTGACAAAAAATAAATGTATATATATATGTATAGTTTTGACTATGATTTCAATAAATCAGGATAAATTTGGAAAGTACCAATACATAATAATATATCGCTACCAGTACAATATAATCAAAAACATTGAAAATGTTTGCCATTCGCTTCGATGCATAGCTTGAAACGCTTGGTAGAATTTTCTGCCATGTTACCTTGGAACAAGATCTCGTGTAATGCAAAACTAATGGGGAAAAAATAGAGGATAATGATATCATCGTGGCGCGTTCGTATATAAAACTCGAATATCAGAAGGCCGTGGTCCGCTCGATAGGAAGCGAAAGCTCGGAGGCGAAAGTTGGCACATGAAATCGACGCTGCATCCAGGACACGTATCGTCTGTCGAAAAGTCGGACGGGAAGAGAAAGAAAAGGACAACGGAATCCGGACCATTGATAGGATGAATGTTTCCTGTTTGCCATCGTATAATAGATACTCTGTTTTCCTCTCTTTTTTTGCTTTTCACGAGTTATTTATTAAGCGTTCACAATTTTCAACAGCCGCACGAATGGTAAAACGGTCCGTGGCCAAGTTATCTCGGCCTGAATATTAGGCTACACACACTTTCGCTATAAATAACTAGTTTAATTAATTAATTCTGGAAAAGGTGTGCACCTAAGCACCTCGCCAGGTGAGAAAATGTGCTGAAGTACCAAGGGTCGCTTGCGACACGTATGTACATGCAAAAAGAGAAGGAAGAAATGTGTGAAGGGATCGATTCGAAACAAGGTGATATGTATATTCACCTCTGATGAAGAAATTTCTCGCGATTAAGCAGCATAAAGCGCAGGAGATAAGTTGATGCGATGCAAAACTGCTCGAGCGTCCGGGCCGGGGATCGTTTGTCGGGCGGTTGAATGAGATGAACGGGGGGATGTGCGGAAAACCGGGAATGAAAAGAAGATCGACATTCGTGGTGTATGGTAGCTATTACGTCGCGGATTGTCTCGAGTAAAGGGATCAATTTCGATGCAATTGATGCTCGAACGCGTCCTCTGCCTTAATGAAAAGTGGAATCGGCGTAGACCGTTAAAAATTCACAGATCCCCACCCTCCCCCTAAAAATCATCGAGATCCGATACAATCTTCCAAGGACCCTCAAAAGCTCCGAATCCTCAGAATCACTTCGACAATCCAAACGGATGTTCGCGAATCCCTCGAGTTCTCTGAAAAAGGAATCTAGGCCAGACTGTTAGGAAAAGTCGGCGAAGACAGCCGCGAGGGAAAACGAGACCGAGAAAGAAAAAGATAGACGCGAAAAAAGAAGGGTACAGGAAGGTACAAGAAGACCGACGCGAAGAGAAAAAAAAGGGGGCGAAATCTCTCTACCGTACCGCGCGACTGCACAATGTGCAGCCGAATGGCCAGAGAGTCGTAGGCCCTGCTCGCGCAGAATCTCCGTTCGTGCGCACAGGCGCACACCGAAGCCACCGTTCACGGCACTGGCCGCGCCGCGCGAATCAATAAGCGTAAGCACAGGTGGGTCGTCGTCGTCTTCGTGGTCGGTGGCTCGGTGACGGACACGGCGCGCATCAGAGAAACGACGCCTGACACGATCCCCACACACAAAACCCAACTGCCTGGTCCTCTCTGGGGTCGAAGAGGGAGAGAGACACAGAGAACGAGAGGCTCACTATCATACCGCCACGCTCTGCGGCAGGGGCCAGAACGACAAGGGTAGCTAGCAGAGTAACAGCAGCAGCGGCGGCGATTCGTTGTGTGGAACAATTGGATTCAGGGGGGAGGGACACAGAGAAGAGAGTAGTGATAACAGAGACAGACCGGAATGTCGGCCGGAACGGAAGTCCAGACGATCCGGCGCCGTGGACGACGCGTCCGTTCCACCGCGTCCTCGGCCTTCCCTTAATCCGGTTCGTTCGCTTGCTCGCACGGAAAACGAACCCTGCTAACCTGACGGGGAGGAGGGTGAATGGAAGCCTACGACGACGCAACATGAACCGTTATCCTGCTACTGCTGCTGCTGCTGCTGCTGCGTGCAGCGCTACGCCCGAGATTATCTCGACGTACGTGTGATCGTTTGAGGCTGTGAATCCGTAATCAAAGAGATACTGTTTTAATGCCTGTGCCCGCTTTTGATCGTTACGTGTTGCTCATCGATCGATCATCGTGGTGGACTATCAGTTTGTGTCTTTGGTCTTCGTGCCTGTGCTTCTGCAGATTCGTTCGGTTGTTTATCCTTCGCGCACGTACACATACACACGATATGGACTCGGTCGGCTTCGTTCCCGCGTCGTCCGTCCGGGCGGACAGTCGACGGCGTAGCTGTGCGCGAGATTAACACGCCGGGGGTCGTCCAGGTCTAATTTCCACGATTAACGATTCTTCACCCGGGCCGGATCCCACCGTGTTGATGTTATCGAGTCGAAAAAATGCTAGTGACACGAGGGTCGGAGCGAGGACACGTTGCACGGGACGAACCGGATGTAGCGACACGTGAAATCGTCGATCGGTTCAGGTGTGTTTTGGTGATCGGTTGATACCATTCCATCCGGATGAGGAATAGATCGAACGGTGGAGGCTCGAACAGGTGAGAACCAGCTTGTGTTACGTGTACGTCGCCCCGATCTACGAAGAGAGAGAGAGAGAGAGAGAGAGAGAGAGAGAGAGGAAATCTGGAAGGTCTCCTCCAGGTAGATCGATTGTCGGTTCTCTGGGATTCTGTAGCCTTGGACTCGCTGAAAGGAACGGTGTCCCAATCGTGGTAACAAGGCCGCGAATGGTATAAAATCGTCAGTGGGCAAAGGACTGACAAGTTTCGAACCGATAAGGAATTGAAACGCTAACAGAATCGAGCCTGGTGGACGATGGAGTCTCGCGCATCCGTGAAGGATTCCTCAGTATTAGCCTGTGCCAAATCCATCGAAGGTTTCGCTCGTGGTGGACCCATGTTTCGCGTGTGGAGTCGATAAACAGAATCCATAAGGAGAACCCGCGAAGCCTGTTGTTCACTTGTCCACGCGTATTCATCGCTTTATTCAGGAGAGTTGACGAAGAAGAGGTGGAGAAGGAACAAAGACGGGACGTAGGCACGGAAGAGCCCTCCCTCCCTTTGTTTTTCAACCATCTTTATTCTCTTTGCATTATCGTGCTTGCGCATTGCGCAATATTTCCGTGGAAGACGGGTGCAAACTGAACCGGGGCAGAGGAGTAAGGAGAGGGATAAAGAGAGGCAGGTTGAACGGCACAAAGGAAAGAGACGGATAGAGGGACCCGGAGTAAAGCAGAAATCGTGATCGAGACTGACACTTTAGAAAGTCACATTTTTCCCGACTAAGACTGTTGTCGTGTTCCATCCATTTACGTATTACTAATTGCTAACTATTAATTGTCGGTGAACGCGCGCTCGAGTCCCGTTGGTACGACGCACGCGAATCACAGAGTTAAATTTAAGTCAGCCGACCCTTTTACATTTTATACCGATGTTTTAAGAGAGAGAAAAGTACGAACGAAATTTTGTCGAGACCTGTCCAATGATTAGCCCGTGGCGTACCGGAAGTATAGACGCGATTTTGTAACGTGACTCACAACCCCTTTTAGGCTAAGCAACGACACCGTCGTTAACTAAAAAATACATATATTAAGCAGAGTAATCGTAAGGCCACCGTGTGAACGCGCACATTTGTATAACCGATTGAAACGCACGAATGAAGCACAAACCGGTGGGATGATCCACGTGTCCGAGTAAACGTGTAACGTATAAATAGATTAAACGTGTCAGAAACAGAAAGAGATTGAAACATCAGTCAACGGACGAAAAAGAGGATCGACCTGATCGTAACGTCGGCGAGGTGAAGAGTCGCGACGTAGGACTGTGTTGCCCAACTGTCTTTCAAAAACGTCGAAGTATTAGCCTAGATGCGTTTTTTGTATTCACTCCTAGGGAGGAACTAAACATTCGTGGTATACGATCATCCAATCAAATACAATCAAATCTCCTCTTCGTGATAAATCCTGACGGAACAATAACCGACAA